CTCACCTGGCATGCGTGCGGCCCAGCTTCGATCCTCAGCACCACATACAAAGATGTTGTGTCCGCCAATAACTAAAAAATAAATATTAAAATTCTCTCTCTCCCTCTCTCTTTAAAAAAAAAAATACATAAAATAGAGCCAGGCGTGGTGACACATACCTATATTTGTGTCCTGAACACTGCAGCAAAATTATAAATCTGATATTAGTAAAGCAAATTATTTGAACTAATCTTTTTTTCTTGTCTGTCATCTGTTAAAGAACAGCTCTATTAATTAAGAACATTCTTAGGACGCAAAGGTGAGTAAGGTCCATTTCATCCCTGTACTCCTCCAATAGCTCAGTCTAGATTGGCAAATACCAGGCACTCCAATAGAGAGTGATATGATAGGGGAACCCTATGACACTGAGAGCCCCAAAGTAGGCAACACTTGGGCTAGACTGAAGACAGAAAGGTAGCAAAGATGGTTTCCTGAGGAAGGGAATTTTAAGCTAAAACCTGAGAAGGCTGGGGTGTAGTTCAGTGATACAGAATGTGCATAGCATGTGCTAGGTCCTGTATTTCATCCCCAGTACAAAACAAACAAGCACGAAAAATAAAGAATAGCCTCAGGAAAAAGAGTATATTACCAAAAAAAAAAAAAAAAAAGTGTTTCCATAAGGCTGGGGTTGTGGCTCAGTGGTACAGCGCTTGCCTAGTACGTGTGTGGCCCTGGGTTGAATCCTGAGCACCCATATAAATAAAAACAAAATAAAGGTATTGTGTCCACCTACAACTAAAAAACTATTAAAAAATAAAAAAGTGTTCCTGTAAACCAGGCATGGTGACACATGCCTGTATTCCTAGCGGTTTGGAAGGCTGAGGCAGAAGGATTGCAAGGTTAAAACTAGCCTCAGCAATTTAGCAAGGCCCTAAGCAAATTAGTGAAACCCTATCTTAAAAATAAAAATAAAAAGGACTGGGAATATGGCTCAATGGGAAAGTGCCTCTGGATTCAATCTCTGGTACCAAAAAAAGGAAAAAAAAAAAAAAAGTGTTCCTGTAAAGGAATTTATATTTACAACAGCTTGTGATGGTGAAAAGGCATTCTGAAAAAAGTTCAGTATGACAAAAGCAAATTGTTGAGACACTTGCCTGAAGTGAAGCAGGAATTGAGGACTACACTAAAGAAGTATGGATTTGATAAAGAAGTTCAAGTATGGTGGCACATACTTGAACCTAAGAAGTTATAGGAAAAAATTTTTCTCTCCGCAACTGAAAACAATATTCATTTTTTAAAAGGAAGACAAATAACCAGGGAATGATGGGGCTGATGTGTATTTTAAGTAGAAATGATTCACATGGAAGTCCATGTCCTAATTCCTGGAATCAGGTTATATGACAAAGGAGAATTCCGGTTTCTAATCAAATGACCTTGAAATGGGAAGATTATCAGGGTGTATCCAGTATTATCATGAGTGTGAAAGAGAGCTGAAGGAATAGCCCAAAAGCAGAGCACTTACAGAACATGTGCTAGAGTGGTAGAGTAGGTGATTAGCGTGTGCTAGACCCTGGGTTTGATCCCCAGCAACAAACAAATAAGCCTTAAGGAAAAAGAGCTGGTCAGGCATGGTGGCCCACAGCTGTTTGAGAGGCTGAGGCAGGAGAAACATGAGTTCAAAGCCAGCCTCAGCAAAATTGACGCACTAAGCAACCCAATGAGACCCTGTCTATAATAAAATATAAAATAGGACTTGGGGATGTGGCTCAGTGGTTGAGTGCCCCTAAGTTCAATCCTTAGTACAGAAAGAAAGGAAAAAAAAAAAAAAAGAAAGAAAGAAAAGACTTAAGAAAATGAATATCAAAGACTGGGTTCAAGCCAAAAAAGTAAATAAAAAGAAAAATAGTGAGTGACCAGGATAGCACCCAACCAGAGCTCCATCATAAAACTAAAACAATCCAATCAACTTTGGCTTCAGATAAACTATCATATTATTGAGTGTCTTAAAATTGAACTGTATTTTTCCCATATTTTTATTGGTGCATTATAATTATACATAATGGTGGGACTGGTTGATACATATTCATACATACACACAATATAACGATATAACTTGGCCAATATCATTCCTCAGTATTTCCCTTTCTCTCCCCCTGGTTTCCTTTGATTTTACTGGTCTCCCTTTGATTTTCATGAGACACCCCCTCCTACTTTTCTTTTTCTTTTTCCTCTCCAGCTTTCACATATGAGAGAAAACGTACACCCCTTGACTTTGAGTTTGGCTTATTTCACTTAACACAACATTCTCAAGTTCCATCCATTTTCCTGCTGGTGACATAATTTCATTCTTCTTTATGGCTGAATAAAACTCCATTGTGTATATATACCATATTTTCTTTACCCATTCATCCACTGATGAACAGCTAGACTAGTTCCATAGTTTGGCTATTATGAATTGGGCTGCTATAAACATGGGTATGCATTATCAATATAGTATACTGACTTTGTTTAGAATAAATACCAAGGAGTGATATAGCTGGATCATATGATGGTTCCAAGCTCCATCTCTTTTTTTCTTTTTTGGGGGGAGGAGAGTGGGTTACGGGGATTGAACTCAGGGGCACTTAACTACTGAGCCACATCCTCAATCCTTCTTTGTACTTCATTTAGAGACAGGGTCTCACCGAGTTGTTTTGTGCCTCACTTTTACTGAGGCTGGCTTTGAACTTACAATCCGCCTGTCTCAGCCTCCCGAGCCACGGGGATTACAGGTATGTGCCACTGTGACCAGCTTTCCATGCTCAATCTTTTGAGGAACCTCCATAATGATTTCCATAGTGGTGTTACTAATTTACAATACCACCAACAGTGTAAAAGTATTCCTCTCCATCATATCCTCTCCAGCATTTAGTATTGTTTCTATTCTTGATGGCAGCCATTCTAACTGGAATGAGATGAAATCTCAGTATAGTTTTGATTTGCATTTCCCTGATTGCTAAAGATGTTTTTTCATATATTTGTTGGCCATTTATATTTATTTTTTATAAGTATCTGTTGATGAACTGTACTGCTTTTATAGATATTTTTACTTCAATGTTTTGAATTTATAATGATACAACAGCTATATACATATGGAAGTTTATACCGAATTTTGTATTTTTAACAAAAAAAAATAGTTTCTATACATTAATTTTAAAACATCCGAATTACAATTACAAGTTCAACAGAACAGACAGTATGGGATATAGAAATAATAGGGGTAATGAAGAAAGGAAGGAATCAAGGATGACTCCTAGCTTTCTGACCTGAGCAATTCAGTGAATGGACAGTACTATTCATTAGAACAGAAAGATGAAAGAAGATTAGAGAAGGTGGGAAATGATAAAGGGAAAAAGACCAAAGAGGATTTTATACATACTAATTTTCAGGTGCCAAGAAATCCAAGTGGAGGTGTCTAATAGAAAGATATCTATCTGTGGGCTGGGATTGTGGCTCAGTGGTAGAGCATTTGCCTAGCATGCGTGATGCACTGGGTTCGATTCTCAGTACCACATACAATAAATAAAATAAAGGTCCATCAACAAAAAAAAAT